CTGTGGCTCTTCGGACGACTCTACCCTCTCCTCGCACTCCTCCCAAGCGGGGAGCAGTCGAAGGTAGCAATCATTTGCATTTTATGCAAAATGACCCCGTAGAGGAATTTCCCCCAATTTCTAGGGTAAAATACGTTGTTTATTCGAGACTTTATATTTCAGGCTGCCCAGCGCCCGTTATGTGCACAAAAAATTGTTTTGTTTACATCAACGAACACGGTTGTCAAGACTGTCAATGTCTTTGGCAGGCCCTTGGTAGGTACGATGGGAGGTATTTTGAGCGAAAGCCTCTTACAAACATCCATTACAGCTTGTGATGTCGATGACGATTGCCCAGAAGCAGCTCAGTTCTGCGATCTCGGAAAATGTAATTGTCGTCCAGGGCTTCGGCAGGACATGATGCGATCAGGCGCTTGTGAACAGGACCCCGATTTCAAGGATTCATCGTCTCTCAACGGTTTGGGAATTTCAGTTTCTAAACCTTTCCATTCTATATGTACATGCTAAAGTGACCTTCTAAGACATCCCTTAGGGATTCTCGGAATCATTTTAAATTTTTTTTTGTTTTTGTTGTGAGCCACTTCAAAAACGTTGGGTACTGTCTTTTGAGAAAGGCCAGAAAGCAAAAGAAGAGGTGCTAGATGGTTCGACATTGATAGAGAAAAAAATTGCGGGAAAATCGCCGAGAGCTACCGAGCTATATCCTTCATTTTGTACGTTTTTTTTCTTGAGGTGTCCAGAATTCGATGATACGCCTTCTGCGTTCACTACTGTCATTTCCAACAGAGACGCAGAGAAAAGCAATGCAAGAGAGCGCAGACGTCGCGACAAATTTCGAGCTGGCTATGCTAATACTGCTCTCACACCCTACTATTGGTAGAGAGACCTTTGGTTGGAAGCATGTAAGCGTAACTCTACAGTCCCATCAAAGCCCTTCTCACGTACCATTGCTCAGAATGCTTATATGGCCTTTATTTCCCTCCTCCTTCCTTCCGCAACTGCGTATTCATTTTCACCTTTTCCCTCTTGAGTATGATCCTGACGCGTGGCTACGGCATCCAGCTCGACGTTTTCGCCTGAGTGGATTCTGGAGAGTGCTTCATGTTCTATGGGCAGTAGGTGACATCCCGCATTATTAATGGCTTTACTGTGCTCCTATAGGCCTTTGATTCGAGGCACTCTGGTACTTTCTCCTTGCATAGAACGCCAGCCCTTCAGCGCTAATTCAGACCAAGCCGCGCTCGTACGGTAATTAACTTCAGAAGCCAGACTGGCCGTCATACGCGATTGCCGATCCAAAACACTTGAAGCTAGTTGTATGCTCGGTGCCGTTAATCTTAATAGTGTCTTCCTTATTTGGCTCCGCGGTCATGTACTCAGTCTTTTGACGTTTCGCCGGTGTCCAAGCATTGCCATGCGGTCAAACCAGCCTTGTACCTGTTGTTCAAGTACCTTCCTGTCTCCGGACTCAGGCATTAGGCGTCAGCATGGAGGGTTTGGTCAGCCTTCCAAAGATTTTGCGAAATGGCATCCATGACATCAGCGAACAGTAGAGTAGAAAGCACTTGGTCTTACATTTAGTGTACGTCGTGATGGGATCTTTTAAGGAGGTACACGCCGATGCTTGCACTAGACACATTGGATTGTAGTGGGGTATGGGCAACCACTCAATAGCCACTTCACAACAACTCCGTGCAGTCACAGGTTATACCATAAAATTTCTCGATGGCTTGTGGTTATACCAAGAATCTTCATCGAGAAACTTCTTCAAGTCGCAGAAGAATAGGAGCATTGCTTGTCATTTTTATGGTGCTTCAGATGAGCGGCATGTACGTATTGTATCGACGGTGCTGCAGTCGGTGACAAATCCACATTGGTTGGTGGAGGGTCGGACGAGGTCTCCGATGGTCTACGATTTGTTCAAGATCCTGATTGTGTGCGAGAACAGGCAAATTGTGCGCTAGCAAGTACAGTGTGTATGACCCCCCTTCTTCTTCCAAACCGGGATGCTTGTACTCCTCCATTTCATTTTATATAATTTCTCAGGGCACTCTCTTTTGTGCAATGATACGATTGAAGAACTTGGTTCAAGGTTGGTTGAAGGAACGAAGATCCATCTAAACGGATGGCAACACGGTGACTTCCACTGATCGACTGCCAATTCATCCGGGCTCTTCATCTTGCCAGACGTCATCCTCATCAGCGCTATCTCCCTTTTGTTCACCATCATGTTCTTAACGGAACCGCATTCTGTCAAGGCGCATGGTTCAGATGGGTGAGCAAACTCGAAGGTAGAGGTGTTCTCTATGTAGTCCTACCATCGTTTTGCTGCTCTTCAACGGTCCATTAGAAGGTCTTGTTCGATGCGGGATACTTCTTCGATATACTCGGCTTGGTGAAGGCGCACCAGAAAGCCCGTAGTAGACAAAAGCCGGACACAGTTACCAGTCGTTTTTCGAAAAGAAGTCGTAATAGAAGTTTCCCTCTCGCGTACTTCTTTGACATCGTAAGTCCATAGCTACACTGCTTGTCGATTTTCTGCTACCCAGGCTTTGTCTCATCTGGGTTAGAGCAAGCAATCGCAGTCGTGACGGACATTGGCTAGGTTCGAATAATCACAGATGTCTCCTTTTTCTTGAGTCGCAACTACTTGATTCTTGCAGATCAACTTCGTTCAGCCTAATTCAGTACTGGTGGACCGTGTGCACATTAGTGACTAAAGTATCATGACGACCGTCTCATAAAGCGCAATCTTGGCATATTTCACGAGCCATGAGAGTCAGCGTATACAAGGATTCGTTCATCTTCAAACTTGCGTGACAAATGACTAAGCTGACCGTAACATTTGGGACCACTTTTCGTACTGCCAGCGTTCTCTCAACGGTCAGGGTCCAAAATTCGTTTTTTGCTTTATGAGAACAGCCAGTCTGCAGAGCACATGCAGGGAAATAAATCCGATATTAACTTCTGACAACGTCTTCATAAAGCAGTCATTAAAACCGCCATGTACGGCTATCTCTAAAGCTCGGCATAGTGCAAACGTTGGTTCTCGTCCGAGTTGAAGCAGAGAGAACCAGCAGTCATTAAAACGTTCGAAGCTCACCTCGAGTTCCGGGAACTTCATTTGTGAAGTCTGAAACTACTGGATGCCGTTGTTTTCACATTTAGTATTCACTAAGCTCAGGCTCAGAGAATGAACACATTCTAACAAGCTTGAACAGCGCAGAACCATTCAAAATATTCACTTTTAAGCACTAGGGATATGTAGCCGAAAACTTCGCTCTCTCTGTCCTACCAGTGGACTAATATTTTGCCTCTTCCAGGGATTCAAGAGCCTCCACGTCGAGTGAGACGCAGGGCAGCGATGCTACAGGAGGACAAGGAAAAGACAGCACTCTTTCTGCCACGAGGGCGGCACCGTTCCATGGTATTTTGCTAGCTTAATCGAAAATCCATCACATTTCTCGTTTGGCTATTGTGCTTAGCTTATAAAGAGGCATCGTACTGGTGAAGCGTTAAGTAAACTACCACGGGTCTCTTACACATTACTGTTTCTTTATATTCCAGGAAAATGGCCAACAAATGTCGAGAAACATGAATTTGAGAAAACATGGCTTAACGTCTTACTTGGAAGGTGATTGTAGAGTTTCTCTGCAATGTTTCAGTGAAGTATTGCTGAAAATTTACTTCGAGTGAAATAAACAAGTAAAGATTATCAAGCCAAATTCTGTTTCAGATGATGTCCGCCCTCCTGCCCCACCTCCTAAACCCGGGCGCGTTTCCAGGTGATTCATTCGTTTGCTTAAGCTACTTTGTACCTTTTTAAAGGCACCGTTCGCGATGATTCAATGGGCGGGTGTGTCGATGACGAGTCCGCCTCTCATTCGATGTCACCTCAGACAGTCAGACGTGGCGTCGAATGAGAGGCGGACACGTCATCGACACACCCGCCCATTGAATCATCGCGAACGGTGCCTTTAAACAAATTGTGCATTCATTTATTTATTTATTTTGAATACGACAGCCCCAAATTTTGTAAAACAAGCCAAGAAAAGGTGAAGAGAAGAGTTAGTAGTGACCATTTCAGGAGGATCCGATTTAGTTCTTGATCAAGATTATTCGATTTCTCGCTACCCATAGGATACTGTATAAATTCGCCTCCTCCATGCATGTGAGCATGTGAGCGAAATGAATTAACAAGGGCTGGGGTGGAATGTTAGGGGAAGAACTGCACTCAGGACTTCCATGACGTACTTCCATGGATCAAGGTGCCATGCACCCACTCATACTAATGACGTTTCGTTACCGTGAGAGCTGATTGTGCGCATTCATTATTTAGGTGTATCGAGCTTTCATATCAGCTGTACTTGCCAATTGTAATAACTGTAAATTAATTGTAATAATCAGACTTTAATCCATTTCAAAGACCTGCAGCTCATGTCTAAAAACAGTTTCCCATTATTTGTCAATATGGTCGAAAATTATGAAGAGGCTGCCTTCAAATAGGAATTTTCCAAAATTTTATCGAAAGTGGACCATTACATGTGAAATGGATCTTTAGAACAAAGTTATTGTCAAACGCTCTCTCATGGATGTGGTTTTAAACAATTACCATTTTGTCTGGACTATGTTCCAGCTCCTGCTTCTTCTTTGTAAAAAAAAAANNNAAAAAAAATTCTGAAATACCAAAAAATATTTTTTTAAATAAAAAAGAACTGAAATCGATTGCATTTTTCCTTTTTTTCAACGAAAAATTCCTAAAAACCAGGAAAAAAGGAAAATAACCTATGACGCTTTGAATTATCTACATGATTATAGAATGTTAATTGATCGCAGTATAGCTGGCACATTCCCAGACCTACCACCTTTAGAACCTCTGACTAGATTCATCAGTTCCTCTCCAAACGATGTAGGTTTTTATTTGTTGGAGATCTTACTCTTACTATACTTGCAATGAAAATATTTCAGAAACCATTCAGGAAAAGGAATAAGAATATCGTGGATGAAGAGAGACGGAAAGGGAGGTACGTGCATGGATTCATGTTTGGTTTTAAACTTATGCAAAACGAAAAACTCTCACAAACAGTAGTTCATTGCCCCTGGAAGGCAGTGGATACGGTTGGCTCATTGCAAGCAGGAGGCGGAGCTCAATGAGCCCAATCACCTCTTCATTGGTTGTTTATTCTGCTACACGTAAGCGAACCAATAAGAATGGCGAGCCGTCATTGGCTGACTACTTCGTACTCAACGTTGAACATGGGTAATTAGTACTCCAAAGGGGAATTATTTTTACTGAAGTCTCGAATTTCAATTAGTCCTCGATGGCATCTTACTCATCCCCCTTTGGCTGATGCTTCTAGAATTCAGCCATGGGTCAACAACAATTTATTATTTACTATCATTTATTATAATTGATCTAATCGAAAAGTAGGAAAAGTCTGAAACTAGGGCCGCAGTCGGCAAGTAGTCGTAGAAAAATCCTGAACGATCTAAAACAACTTGAATCAGGTATATCAGTGCTTTTCGTGAAGCCTACTAGATAATGAAGTCTAAAGTCTCTGGGCGCTGATAAGGCTAAAGTCTTTGGGCGGTGATCAATCCCTCGGGGGATGTGCCACCTCCTTTGACGCTCATTCAGAATCGTAGTGAAGGTTTGAAGGCATACGTCGCCTATACAATTACTGCGGTGGCCAGCCCTTGTAAAATTCAGTGCTTTGATCCTGTCAAACGAGTTTAGTACCAATTCCCCGACCGCGAGGGAAAAAAGATTTGTATGACCTAGTCGGGTATTGATCCGGGACTTTAACCCGTGACCACGCGTGTATGATAGTGCGCCACACGCCACTACACCATCGTCGAGCCTGATAAAATGAACAAATCATCTAAGCCTTGTTTGTAGCACATTTGTTAAGATGATTCGTGGTTCTTTGTAGAGATTTTCTTTCGTGAACAAATTTCCCTTTTTCAGAAAATCGGATCGACTAGTTGAATTTCCAATATCATCACGAATTGCTGCTGCTCATTCTGAAGGCGTTCCGTTGTTGCCACCTCTTCCACTCAGTGTTCATCCAACAAGGGAGGAACTTCGACGGCACAATCACTTCAAAAGTGTTTTCAGCAGAACGAATAGACGACATTTGCAATCCGCATAGTTATGTAATCGTTTTTATGGCATAAAATATATTCGTTTTTTTGTTGGTTAGAAGTTTATGATGTCGTAGTCGAGCGACTTCTCCCTCAGGGTTGTGTGGGCACCCGAACTCCAGGTTCCGGCATGATGCGTGAACTCCGATTCGAGCAGCAGCAACTGCGGCCATCTCGCATTTCTGACCTTATGAGTTGCAGCCCAGTCCATGACATTTTTTCGACGATGATTTCCGTACTGAATGCTGGCCTAGAGTTGGCCAGCGGTCTATGCTGGGTAACCACCATTAGTGGAGGCGGGGGAGCGTCTGTTCCGCGCGTCCGTCGAAATTTGATTCCCAACGCGCGCGGACCAGCCCACTGCGATCTCGAGATGACATTACAGTACCACTAAGTGTCAGTGGAGCGAATGACTTCCACTAGTCCGTGTTACCTTTTCCCCACTTTCTGGTCCGATGGGCAACCTAACGGTAGATTGGTCCCATTACCATCTCTGCTTGGGGAGTATGAAACCGGCGGTATGTCATTCACCTGGGGAATTTGAGGTCCTCGGAGAAGCGGGGAGTTTGATCTTGCCAAGCTTCGGCGTTTATGTAATATGATGCATTTTATAGAGTAGTCTTCTCGGTTCAAAAATGTCTGGTTCCTTGGTTCATACTGTCATCCTACAGTACTACATTCCCTTTACCATCATTCTGTTCCGTGGAAGAAAAATGACCAATTTATGGTTAGACTAAGTGGGGGCTGCAAGCTGCTAATCTTCAACTTTCCGAAGCCTCAAGGGATTCTTTGACATGAACATTTCAAGTCAGAAGCGTTACGATTTGCTGAGGAGATCGTAAGTGGGAAGCCCTGAAATGCTCAAGTCAAATGGCTGATGTGAGGGATCTGCTGTGTTCCGGGATCTACATTTTATGCAAAGTTATCTAGCCTGGTTTGCAGGTATGGCCCAGCTTGAATACGCTCTCATGCATAGACTCAAGCACAAAATCTAGGGAGCAAGGCCACCAATCCGAACCCGTCACTTCACAAAAATGAGACCAGACTCTTCACCGCTACACCGTGAGACCGCTTTGGCTAGTGTTGGCCCTCGGCTATGAGAGCCTGCCAATCAATTTGATCATGGCTTAGTTGAAGTTTCGCTTGTGGGATAAGCATAGTGCCCTACCATCGCGCCCCATACCAAGGGTAAACCGACCCTCCCCAGCCAAGTACGGAAGCACTGGAGCCAGCTGAGCATTGCAATTCAATGAACAGCAGATCAGTTCGCGGCCGTTCTGAATGCCCACGACTGTTACACCGAAGATGCACTACTGTTTATCATGGATTCCTTCCCAGAGATACGAAAACCTTCGAACGCCGTTTCCACAGTTGGATAGAATCCCACCCTTACGACGTGTCTCCCACTCTGTTCCCCATTCACATTAGATTGCCTCCATCTGGGAGAAGAAAGGGCTGTTAGAGATAATTACCATTTGTAAAGGGATAATTAAAAACTGGTCGACGAAATTTTTGCTTTTCGCTGGCTTAGTATTGAAATTGAAAACGAAATGTTAGGAAGTGATCGGAATAGGTGAGGAAGTGCTTCTCCAGAAATTAAGCAGATGTTCAGCGTTTGATTCCTACTGCCTACTTAAATTTATTTCCTTATAGGAACCAAAAGTTCACGATTGAAATTCCAATTAGAAAAAAAAACTCTACGAAATTTGTTCTCACACCTACCCAGGGTTTTGCTGTCTAGTAATAGTCCCTGTTCCAAATTTCGTTATATTTTTTTGTTTTTTGTTTTTTCCGTTTTTTATTTGTTTTCTGATGAAAACGCAAGAGAACAAATTCTTCTGGGATTGAGGATTCTTGCTCTGTATATATAGCATGCATGAAACGGGAAAATTTTTAATTTTCGGAACACGTCCAAACTGTAAATTCCCGATAACTTCCTGAATGTCATTGGCTGCTTTCATAGTCCGCCGGCCAGCCGGCCGGCCGGCGCGCCGGCGTGCCGGCGTGCCGGCATGCCGGCGGAGGCAGTGCTAGGGGGGAGGAGGGAGGCAGACAGTGTAAGGCAAACAGTCCACGCCCCTTCGAAGGTTGTTTGTTTTCAACCCCTCGAAGGGGCGTGGACTGTTTGCCTATCTGTCTGCCTCCCTCCTCCCCGCTAGCACTGCCTCCGCCGGCACGCCTGCCGGCCGGCCGGCACGCGCGCCGGCACGCCGGCCCGCCGGCCGGCCGGCGGGCTATGAAAGC